AAAAAAAAAAAAAAAAAAAAAAAAAAAAAAAAAGATTCTTGCAAGTGTCGACGATGAAACAAGCGTTTTATGACGATTTTCATGCTATAGAGGTTATTCTTCTTACTAATGCGAGAACCTAATTCAGGTACGAAGTTAAGATGGAGAGTCACAGATATTAGTCTTTACTGGATTATGATAAGAGCTGCTCCTATGAGATTAAAGTTCCTCTTAGTTCATCACGTTCTTCTCCTTACTGGTGTTTTCGTGCACTTACAATGTATATAGAAGTAGTTGCTCACTTGTTTGGTTCCTGGAATTATTATTCTGTTTCTCAACTAGTCTATTTCTTCGGCGTCTTAAGCGCCGTATATGCTCCGATTCGCCGTTGCAAATATCAGTAGATAATAAAATTATTTGTAAAGCCTGTGTACCGAGATAAGAGGGAAATAAGGAAAGGAAAAGCTAAAGACATTTATTTGATAAAAGTCATAATGCGCATCTTACTAGTAAAGTGTTTCTTATGCAGTAATCCCTATTTTGTGATGCTTATGAGGATTTGATATAGATATAAATGTAGATACTTATATATTATACATCTAGTGTGCATATTTATTTGATTCAGAGGCTGTTGTGGGAGTCGGGTTTTGAGCTGCAACGTTCGTTATGGGCGATTTCACTAAACCCAAATTTCGTAATCTATTCGTTTGGTTGTTTGACGCGTTAAGCAGCTTGTTTGTTTGTACTATGCATGGATGTGTGCGCCGTTTCGGGCCTCTTGTGTACGCTTTATTTTGGTGCTGACTGCTTTGTTTTGTTCGTTTTTGAAATATGGGAATATGCAGCAGTCGAGATTTCTAGATCTGTCACCAAGTTCGGTACTTCTCTCGTTTTCACTCTTGGAATTTCTTAAAGTAGTTTTTTCATAACTTACTTTGCCGCTTTACTTTGCCAGTAATTGGGACTGTTACAACAACAACATCTAATGTACAAGAAGATTGGGATCTTGTGGAATGCGTTAAAAAGAAATTCACCGAAAAAGAAATCACTTTTCACTGAACTGATATCAGTTTGCATTAGTATCTGGCGCATTTGCCTGGTAGTTTGAAATCCTTATTGTAATTATTTTTTGGATGTCACAATTCAGAATTGGGTCTTGGAACTTTATTTTGTTTCCGTATAGTTTTCAACAGCCGGTTTTGTTTTAAGTAAGGCTCTTGGTCTTGCTTCAGCATAGGTCGGCCTGTCTCATATCGACTAATGCACTGCTGAGATGTTTCGTTCTTCTTTTTTTATTGGTTGTTCTGAATTTTTGGGCAGTTGATAATTCATCTTGGTTACTTCATGCTTCTTTCGACTGTATTTTTTGCTGTACTGCTTTACAAGTTTTAGTCTCTGTTGTAAATACACGGTTCTGTGATAGACAGAGTATTCAGGATGGATAGAACTACTGAGGAGTTTCATTACGCCAAGCGTTATTTAACAGTCGCGACAGCGCTCTTTTCACTTCCGTTTGTGCTTGTGTACCTGTATTCGGAAGTTTTTGCAGAAGTATCGTTCTGCGGCTGTAGTGTTTGATACTTTTGATCTGATTCCCCAGATTTGTCTTTTTTTAGTTGGCCATCGGTCTCAGTGATTAGGGGCTAACTGGTATACTAGTTTGGATACCATTTAAATGTCACGTTTGGAAAGATCTTATCCAAATTTTTTTGGAGGCGAACAACATATGGCGCCTGAGACCTACTACATCCGTTTACGCGGTTTACCTTTTTCTGCTCGTGAAGAAGATGTTCGCAACTTTTTAAACGGTAATTAGGATATCATTATGCCTTTTTGCATTGTCCCAGCTGACTTGTTTTTATTTCAATTATTTTCCACAAATAGATGTACATTACAATCATTTGAGGGATCCCGACGAAGCATGTAACTTTTACGCTGACGGCTACAGGTCGGGCTAGTGGGGAGTGTTATGTTGAACTTAATGACACTAGTGCTGTGAAGGATGCTCTGCTGTTGCATAAGAAGGAAATGGGGGGTCGGTATATTGAAGGTGTGTCGTATTCCTTATTGTTGTTATATGTTCACTTCGAGGAAAATTTTTTTAATGAACACAGATACAGCTGAGACTTAACTAAAAAAGTTTTTTTTCGACTGTTATTTTATATCTCATTTCTTGAACTAGTTTTAGTGAATGTTTGGTTTTAGTCTTTTCGGTATCTGAACAAGAGCGGATACAGATGGTGCGAAACGGTGTTCTTCGTGGTCCTGGGGAATCAGATATTCAGCGACCTGCTAAGTACGTTGTGCGCCTGCGCGGGCTACCTTTTGAAACTAACAACGATGACATCAAAGAATTTTTTGAAGGTACTTCTTTTCAAAAACCTCGCAAATTGTTTGGAACTGAAAGGCGATTACACTAATTTTATACATTTTCTTTAGCCCTCACGCGCGTAAGTTTTGGTTGAAGTCAATATTTAAGTAAAATGTTGCTGTAATTTGAAAAATTCCATGCTGAATGCAAATACGTTAGTGTAGTTGGGAAGAACAAATCGGCGCAAAATGGTTATTTCAAGTTTTAATTCTGGTCG